AAGGATCACTCCTAACGCTCCTCCTCTGGACCAATTTCCCCAGCCCAATTCTTGTAATTCTTAACCTCTTTCTCCCCAGACACGCACAATAAGAATCGCTGTTTGGTCTCTCTTCCTCAAAGGGACTGCTGGAGAGGAGATGCCAATCAAAAATAAAACATCCCCATCGCCCCCTGTTGATTCACCGTGGGAAATTCCAAATCTCTGCAGGCACATTTTATTTTATTTATTTTATTTTAAAAAATCTCAGTGTGACCCTCTCCCTAAATGGTTACAGGAAAAATATTATACAGTTAAAGAATTATATAGATAAATGATAGAGGTGAGATAGATAGGCAAAGATAGACGATAGATAGATAGATAGATAGATAGATAGATAGATAGATAGATAGATAGATAGATAGATAATTAGATAGATAGATAGACAGACAGACTGAGAGATAGATAGATAGATTGAGAGATAGATGATAGATAGATTGAGAGACAGATAGGTAGGGAGAGAGATATAACACAATTCCTAAAACATAGCAGTAAACCTTTCGGGAACATAACTATGGATGGATGATAGAGGTAGAGATAGATAGATAGATGATAGATAGATGATAAAGAGATAGAGATAGATAGATAGATAGAGATACTAGAGATAGATAGATTATATATATATATATATATAGAGAGAGAGAGAGAGAGAGAGAGAGAGAGAGAGAGAGAGACTGACAGACAGATAGGTAGGGAGAGAGAGAGAGAGAGAGAGAGAGAACACAATTCCTAAAACATAGCAGTAAACCTTTCGGGAACATAACTAACTATGGCTTTGGAGGAGAGTTAGTTTCAACTTCCTTCTGCGATGGTGAAATCCACTCTTGGATGGCCCCCTGAGTGAAGAAGTATCTCCTTTTATTGGTTCTAAATTTATCAACTAAATTTATCAACTCCTAAATGGTTACAGGAAAAATATTATACAGTTAAAGAATTATATAGATAAATGATAGAGGTGAGATAGATAGGCAGAGATAGATAGATAGATAGATAGATAGATAGATAGATAGATAGATGATAAAGAGATAGAGATAGATAGATAGATGGAGAGAGAGATACTAGAGATAGATAGACTAGAGAGAGAGAGAGAGAGAGAGAGAGAGAGATGATAGATGATAGATAGACTGAGAGATAGATAAATAGACTGAGAGATAGATAGATAGATAGATAGATGATAAAGAGATATAGATAGATGGAGAGAGAGATACTAGAGATAGATAGACTATATATATATATATAGAGAGAGAGAGAGAGATGATAGATAGATAGATAGATAGATAGATAGATAGATAGATAGATAGATAGACAGACTGAGAGATAGATAGATGATAGATAGATAAATAGATAGATAGACTGAGAGATAGATAGATAGATAAGAGAGAGAGAGAGAGACGACAGAGTGAAATAACACAATTCCTAAAACATAGCAGTAAACCTTTCGGGAACATAACTATCTATGGCCTTGGAGGAGAGTTAGTTTCAACTTCCTTCTGCGATGGTGAAATCCACTCTTGGATGGCCCGCTGAGTGAAGAAGTATCTCCTTTTATTGGTTCTAAATTTATCAACTAAATTTATCAACTCCCTAAATGGTTACAGGAAAAATATCCCAACTCTAGAGAGCAGTGCTCATCTCCGTTTCAAAGCCGAGGAGCCAGCGCTGTCCGAAGACGTCTCCGTAGCCATGTGGCTGGCATGACTCAATGCCAAAGGCGCACGGAACACTGTTCCCTTCCCACCAAAGGTGGTCCCTATTTTTCTACTTGCATTTTTTACCTGCTTTCGAACTGCTAGGTTGGCAGAAGCTGGGACAAGTCACGGGAGCTCACCCTGTTACGCGACACCAGGGATTCGAACCGCTGAACTGCCGGCCTTTCGATCGAAAAGCTCGGCGTCTTAGCCACTGAGCCACCGCGTCCCTTCAGAGAGATGATAGAGATAGATAGATAGATAGATAGATAGATAGATAGATAGATAGATAGATAGATAATAGAGGAGGTAGGTAGGTAGATAGATGGATGATAGAGGTAGAGAGAGAGAGAGAGATGGAGGGAGGGGGGAGGTAGAAGAATGGATGATAGAGGTAGAAGATAGATAGATAGATAGATAGATAGATAGATAGATAGATAGATAGATGATAGATGATAGATAGATAGATAGATAGATAGATAGATAGATAGATAGATAGATAGATAGATAGACAGACAGAGAGAGAGAGATAGGTAGGGAGATGAGAGAGAGAGAGACGACAGAGAGTGAAATAACACAATTCCTAAAACATGCAGTAAACCTTTCGGGAACATAACTATCTATGGCCTTGGAGGAGAGCTACTTTCAGCTTCCTTCTGCGATCGTGAAATCCACTCTCGGATGGCCCCCTGAGTGAAGAAGTATCTCCTTTTATTGGTTCTAAATTTATCAACTGCACTTTCAAATGGATCAGGCAAAAAGGACACGATTAAAGGTCTCCGGATAGTTTTCAAGGACATTCTTAATTTGGAAGGACAGCAGAATTTAGTCGTAGAGACGCTACTCTCTAGACGTGATTGGGGGGGGGGGTGGCTCAGCCTAAGATATCTAGAGGGCACCTGGAGGGGAAGGATGGATTATGGGGATTAAACAAAGAAGGCTCCCATCTGACACCTTCATCTGTCGGGAAGGAGGACGTCCTGAAAACCGTCCGCCGAAGAGAAGAGGAAGGAGAAAATCGGTGGAAATGCTCTTGCAATGCTGGTTTTTAAGTTATTTGCAATAGATTGCGAAAAAAGGAACCCCGTTTTCGAATGACTCCAGAGCTGATGAATTACAACAGTCGTTCAAAGTTACGACGGCCCTGGAAAAAAAAATGTGAATGATGACCGCGTCTCACATTTATGACTTGGACGTCTAAAGGATAAACAGGATGGTTTTAAGTTTTCTGCAATGGAGAAGAAGGGCCATAGAGCCTCCTCCAAGGGAAAGGGGAGGCTTCTCTGAGCCCCATCGACTTTGGAGCTGGAGGACTGAAGAGGCTCAGAAAGGGAGGATGAAACTCAGACTGAACAGCAGAATAACAGAGTTAGATGGGACCTTGGAGGTCTTCTAGTCCAGCCCTCTGCTCAAGCAGGAGATCCTATCACATTTCAGACAAATGGCTGTCCAGTCTCTTCTTGAGAGCCTCCCATGATTTCGGAAGGCAAGCTGTTCCCTGGTTAAGGAAAGTTTCTCCTTAATCCCAGCTTGTTACTCTCCTTGAGTAGTTTCCACCCGTTGCTTCTTGTCCTGCCCTCAGGTGCTTTGGAGAATAGCTTGACTCCCTCTTCTTTGGGGCAGCCCCTGAGATACTGGAACGCTGCTATCATGTCTCCCCTAGTCCTTCTCTTCATTAGACTAGACATGCCCAGTTCCTGCAACTGTTCTTCATAGGTTTTAGCCTCCAGCCCCCTAGAAAAAAGGAGGGGGGGAGCTCATTGTAAAGCTGAATCACAGGATCTACCCACGGTGGCGCAGTGGTGAGAGTGCGGTACTGCAGGCTCCTTCTGCTGACTGCCGGCTGACTGCAATTTGGCAGTTCGAATCTCACCAGGCTCAAGGTTGACTCAGCCTTCCATCCTTCCGAGGTTGGTAAAATGAGGACCCAGATTGTTGGGGGAAAGAGGCTGACTCTGTAAACCGCTTAGACTCTAAGGAAGTCTAAGACTTAGACTTAGAGGAAGTCTGTAAAGCACCGTAAAGCGGTATATACGTCTAAGTGCTATTGCTGCTTTCCTTCCTTCCTTCCTTCCTTCCTTCCTTCCTTCCTGCCTGCCTGCCTGCCTGCCTGCCTGCCTGCCTTCCTTCCTTCCTTTTTGCCAAGGTGGCGCAGTGGTTAGAATGGAGAATTGCAGGCTAATTCTGCCCACTGCCAGGAGTTTGATCCTGACTGGCTCAAGGTTGACTCAGCCTTCCATCCTTCCGAGGTTGGTAAAATGAGGACCCAGAGGAAGGCTGTAAAGCACCGTAAAGCGGTATATACGTCTAAGTGCTATTGCTGTTTTCCTTCCTTCCTTCCTTCCTTCCTTCCTTCCTTCCTTCCTTCCTTCCTGCCATAGTGGCACAGTGGTTAGAATGCAGTATTGCAGGCTGACTCTGCCCACAGCCAGGAGTTCGATCTTCACCGGCTCAAGGTTGACTCGGCCTTTCATCCTTCCCAGGTGGGTCAAATGAGGACCCAGATCGTTGTGGACAAGAGGCTGACTCTGTAAAAACCACTTAGAGAGGGCAATGAAGCACTGTGAAACAGTATATAAGTCTAAGTGCTGTTGCTATTTGCCTAGTGATATAGGGCAGCACAAGAGGAGAGCAGGGGATCTAGTTTCATGGCCCTGACCTGGAATTTTTTGGGCACCCAGGAGGGGAAACTGAGGTTAACGGTGTTGTAGAGATTAAAGAAGATGAAAAGAGCGCCAGTTACCTGCCTCCTTAGGCCTATTGCTCAACTCTGCCTTCCAGTATGTGGTGCTTACTACCTGAGTTGAACTTAAGAGTTGTTATGGCTATACTGGCTGAGTTGTAATCTGAGTTGACGAGAGTTGACGAGAGGAATTGTAATCCTCTTCAACCCCTTGGGGGGTTGGCCAAGTTAAAGAAGACTGCCTTGGTAGAGAGGAGGGTTGGTGGGTTTTTTCCCCCCCTCCTCCTTTTCTTTTTGAGAGCTTCTGCTTTGATGAGTAAAAACAGATGGGTTTTTTTTTCACCCTCTATCTTCTCCCAACATCTGTTCCCGCCATCTTTCCATGATCATAATTAATTAATTAATTCCAACCATCTCGGGTATCTGACCCTGAACAGTTCGGATGAAATTAGACGATATGCTTGGATGCTTACAACCTTCAACCAAAGTTAAGATCCGGGCTAAAGAAAATACTTGAAGCTGTCTTCAGAAAGGGGACAACCGAAAAATATTGGCCAACCCTCGTCTTTCCCTACCGAGGACTTGAAGAGGCTTTTCAAATTATTTTTTATGGAGACTGCTGGTCAGATTCTTTACTGGGATACAATTCTGATCGTCTTTTGACCTGCAACCTAGCATCACACCGGCCTGTCCAGATGATACTGGCTGGAGCTGGGGCTGATGTTTTGGGGAGCGCCATAACCGAGAGCAGATTGTGGCTGTTTGGCCCGGAGTCTCAATCCCGCCAGGCTTGAGTTACAGGGGTCCCTATACATGTAGGGTGATGGGGCACCAGGCCCATACATCGAAGCCGAGTGCCCAGGAGGACTTGCCAAGCTGTTGAAGTTTTCCAGAGATGGGACCCCAGGCAGAGAAGCTCCGGCGGCTGCTGGGAACACATTCTGGGGTGCAAAAGAATTGAGGTTGATGGAGTTGAAGAGCTGGAAGCCTTTGCCGTGGATAGGGCTGCTGTGTAGCCCCTTGGGAGTCCAGGTGTTGTAGGCGTAGGTCGGGTAAAGGTCATCGTAAGGGTTTCCGGTCAAACTATTAAACTGTGACCCAAAGGCTCCTTTGCAAAGCTCCGTCTGCTGATGCCGTTCCTTTTTCCTCCACTTGGCTCTTCGGTTCTTGAACCAAACCTTGAAAGAAAAGAGACAGGTAAAGAGAGCGGAGAAAAAAACCAAGCACTCCGTTACACGACATTGAGGAACGATGCCAAAAACTAGTCGCGTGTCACCGTCACCATGTGACAGTCCTCCAGCGATTGCTCTTGTCCTCTTTAAAAAGAGAAGAAGAACGTAGACCCAAGAGGCAACTGGACTCTTTGGTTATTTTCTTTGAAGGCATTTCGCTTCTCATCCAAGGAACTTCTTCAGCTCTGATTGGATGGTGGAGAATGGAAAGATCTGACATCCAGCCAGAGCTGAAGAAGCTTCTTGGATGAGAAGCGAAATGTCTTCAAAGCAAGTCCAGTTGCTGGATAAGATACTCGTGGGAACAGAGGAAAACTTAATTTAAAAATTTTATAATTTCTTGCTGTACATTGAATTGGAGGAGGAGCAAGTAAAAGAAACGATGATAGCCTGGGGTAGAAATTTTGGTTATCCAATTGAGTTTGAAAAGTGGCAACAACTATGGGAAAGGAACTATAAATTAACAATGTCCACTGCATATAAGGAAAACCAATATAAAATGTTTTATAGATGGCATATGCCACTGGAGAAGTTAGCAAAAATGTTTAAAGATAAATCAGCTAAATGCTGGAAATGTCATCAAACACCAGGATATTATTATCATAGGTGGTGGACTTGTTCTGAAGCAAAAAGTTAAAATAAAAATCTGGTTGGGAGAAATGATACAGAAATGTATTGAATTTAAACCAGAGTTGTTCCTATTGGGTATCTTTCCAGAAAAAAAATCAGTAAGGAAAATGTATACTTGACCATACATGTAATAACAGCTGCAAGAATTGTGTATGCTCAAAATTGGAAATGAGAGAAAATACCTCTGGAAGAACAAGTAATAAAATTTTTTTTTAGATTGTGCAGAAATGAATAGCTTAACTTTGATGATTAAGGACAAGGAAGAATCAGAATATTTTAAGACATGGAATCATTTTTATAGTTGGTTGGAAAAGAGATACAAATGATTGATACTATAATTATGTACAAATGATTATAATATTGAATTTAGAAATGAACTGTTAGAACGGTTTGGACGAAGATGAAGATAGAAGAAACGTATGGAAGATGGAGAAGAAGCCTAGAAGATAACACCGAGATGTCACAGGGAAGGGAGGATTGATGTATTAAATGTTTGTTTGTTTTAAAAAATAAAAAAAAATACTCAAAAAAAAAAAAGCAAGTCCAGTTGCCTCTTGAAAAAGCACCTTTGGGACAATCATGACCTGGATGACTGAGAAGCTCTGTAGACATCTCCAAAGAAGACAATCAAGGTAGTTGGGAAACTGCAGAGAGCATTCTTGAAAGGCCAATGTCAACCCTGAAGTGAGCCTGGTTGAGGCCATCTTGGAGGCTTCAGGGTTGCCACACAACGGTGGGAGGGGGGGAAATAGTTAGAGGGGGTTTTGTAGCCAAAACAATCAAGTTTTCCTGTGGGAACCAAGGACATTCTCACAGGTGGCTGGCCAGAGGAGGAGTGAAGTAACCAAGCAACCGGCCAGCACCTGGATTGGACAGCGTGACCAGTGACTTGGAGGAAAGGGGAAACTTTTACTTTTTAATTAGGTGAAAGCCGCGGGAACTTTCAGAGTCGGCTTTCACCAGTTGTGCCAATAGGATGCATCCAATAAATTGTTCTTTGAGGAATTTCCCTGCCTCCGAGTTCTGCTTTCTTGGGGTGCATTACTTGGAACGCTGACATCCAGCCCAGTGGTGAAATGTAAAATTTGTTACTAGCGGTTCTGTGGGCGTGGCTTGGTGGGGGGTAATGTGACTGGGTGGGCATGGCCAAACTTTTTTTTTACTTTTAAAAGCATTTTTTCTACAACCTAAATAAATTAAACCTATAAACCTAAGCCTATATAAATAAAATAAAGTAAAATAAATAAATAAATAAACCTCTTTGGCCAAAAAATGCTTTTAAAAGTTAAAAAAAAAAGCCTCTGATGATCACGCGACTCAGCTGAGATCGTAAGAGGCTTTTAAAAGAATTTTTTTCTGCAACCTCTTTGGCCGAAGAGGCTGTAGGGGAAAAAAAAAAAGCCTTTAAAACCCTCTGACGATCCCAGCTGAGTTGCCTGATCATCAGAGGCTTCTAAAAGCATTTTTTTTTTCTGCAACCTCTTAAGGTTGTAGAAAAAATGCTTTTAAAAGTAAAAAAAAAAAAAAAAGTTGGCCACACGCACCCAGTCACATTACCCCCCCACCAAGCCACGCCCCAAAATAAGCCACGCCCACAGAACCAGTGGAAGGATGCGAAACGGGAGTTAAAATATTTTTAAATTTTATTTTAAATCATTAAATTGAATTGTTAAATTGCCCCGCGGCGAGTTGGCCGTGGCCAATCGCCCCATTCCGACTATGGACGCACCCTGCTAAAGACCACAGAGGACACACACACACACACACACACACACACACACCCATGGATCATCAAGGACACGAAAAAAGAAAAGGTGGATGGAATCAATCATGGCAGCAAAGAACGCACCATTAAGAGCCGCGGTGGCGCAGTGGTTAGAAAGCGGTACTGCAGGCTACTTCTGCTGACTACCGGCTGCCTGCAATTTGGCAGTTCGAATCTCACCAGGCTCAAGGTTGACTCAGCCTTCCATCCTTCCCAGGTGGGTCAAATGAGGACCCAGATTGTTGGGGGGGGGCAAGAGGCTGATTCTGTAAACCGCTTAGAGAGGGCTGTGAAGCTGTATATAAGTCTAAGTGCTATTGCTATTCCTTCCTTCCTTCCTTCCTTCCTTCTTTCCTTCCTTCCTTCCTTCCTTCCTTCCTTCCTTCCTTCCTTCCTCCCTCCCTCCCTTCCTCCCTCCCTCCCTCTCTTATTCCCTTTCTCCTTCTCCTTCCTGGTACCACAGTGGCTAGAAGGCACAACTGCCAGCTGACTTTGCCCACTGCCAGGAGTTCAATCCTGATCGGCTCAAGGTTGACTCAGCCTTCCCTCCTTCCAAGGTCGGCAAAATGAGGACCCAGATTGTTGGGGGGCCAAGAGGCTGACTCTGTAAACCGCTTAGAGAGGGCTGCAAAGCACTGTGAAGCAGTATATATGTCTAAGTGCTATTGCTATCTTTAAGAGCCATGATTGCGCAGTGGTTAAAATTCTGCCCACTGCCAACAGTTCAATCCTGACTGGCTCAAGGTTGACTCAGCCTTCCATCCTTCCGAGGTCGGTAAAATGAGGAGCCAGATTGTTGGGGGCAAGAGGCTGACTCTGTAAACCGCTTACAGAGGGCTGTAAAGTACTGTGAAGCGGTATATAAGTCTAAGTGCTAATGCTATTGTGTACAAGGCCCAAAGTATCTCCTACAGTTTCATTTCATTTCACGTCATGTCTAAAGCCGCCCACTCTTTTGCAATCGTGGGTTGCTTACAGAGAATTACTAAAATTGAAAAAGACCACAACAATAAAAGACAAAAAGAGCAGTTTGAAGGTAAGTAGAGCAGCGACGGGGGGGAAACAGCTGTGCCACGCAATTTAGATTTGCTAGAAAGCCGCATTTCCTGCTTTCTAGCGAATATAAATCACGTGGCACAGCTGATCATCGGAAATACTGCTTCTGAGAAACTAGTAGGTTTTTTTTACTACCAGTTTGCCGAACCGGTAGATATTATCAATACCGGTTTGCCCAAACTGGTGCGAACTGGTAGGATTTCACCACTGCAAAAAGGGCAAACTACTTCCAAAAACACTGCCTAACAAACCACAGGGAGTAGTGTAGAACATACACCAGGAGTCAGTGCTGACTCCCAGATACCAAAAAGGAAAAAAAAAAAAAAAGATAATAACCCAGATTGTACCTAATGTGATTTCTTACAATCACAATTGTTTTGTGTACTATCATTTTGGGCTGGACATCACCCCTTCAAAAACCAGTCCATGTTTCACCCATAAAATAATTCGGATATACTTGGAAATTCCCCGTGCCAGCTTTCAGGATAACCTGGAGAACTCGAGATCACTACTGGGGATGGAGCTCCCATGGCCATAATTGAAATAAGAAATGTTTGACACATGAACAAAATAATAATAATAATAATAACAACAACCCCTTCTCAAAGACTGAAAAATAATTTAAAGGTCTTGATCCAAACAGTCCCTGCCCCGCAGGTTCTTATGAAATTCGTCTATGAACATATTTTCAACAAGGACATACATTCATTTTCCCCCCACAAACTAATATGATTGTTGGCCAAGCAGGGACAAAAATAGCCAGAGAAATAGTTTACCTTACTTTTCGGAGTATAAGACGCACTTTTCCTTCCCCCCATCAAAAGAAGGTGGAAATGTTGGTGCGTCTTATACTCCGACCTAACCCTAACCCTATCAGTGGTATTCAGCCGGTTCATACCAGTTTGGGAGAACCGGTAGCAGAGAGATCCACCAGCCATGGCGTAAAGACGTCCTATTTATATATATTTACCGACATTTGCAAAATACATCTACGAATGCTTTCAGTTCGTCCCATTTTCCATGCTTTCATACAGGAATGCGTGAACAATCGTAGGACATGTGGTTTTTTTTTTTTTTTAACAGAAAAGAAAATTAGAGTGGGGCAGCAACAGTGCTTAAGCCAGCCTGCAAACCTCAAATCCGACACGTCGTCCCATCGTTCTGCAGGGATTTGACCAAGTTTTCATTCCCATCTTTTGCCTTCTGCTGGCTTCCAGATGCACTGTCACTCAATTCCCCTCCACCCCCCCCACCCCCAATGTCCAACCAGAATGTAGTCTCAACACAACTGGGATTGGAATGTGTGTGTGGAAAAGCAGAAGAGGAAAACAGGGCACTGCAAAAAAAAAAGCAGCTTCGGAGCAGAAGTGTGAGAAGGTTTTTAAGCCTACTAAATGTCGATGGAGATTCTCAGTCCTCCAGGTCATGGTTGTCCCAAAGATTTTTTTCAAAAGGCAACTGGACTTTCTGGGTTTTCTCTGAAGACCTTTCGCTTCTCATCCAAGAAGCTTCTTCAGAGCTGACTAGATGGTGGGGAATGGAAGGAATTATACTCTTTGCAGACTGCCGGTCATTTGCATTGGCAACTGTAAGGCTTGTGGACTTTAATTCCCAGAATTTCTCAGCCAGCCACACTGGCTGGGGAATTCTGAGAGTTGAAGTCTGCAAGTTGCCAAGTCTGGAGACCCCTACTCTAAATCAAGCAATTCAACCTAGGTCTTAGATGAGCTGGAGAATTGCTTTGATGGGCTTTCAAGATTCTGCTAATGACCCTAAAGATCTCTCCTTTCCTTTGCGAGTTTGCAAACCTCACAAGGGTTGACAATTCCTGAAGAAGTTCGGGTTTAACAGAATAACAGAGTTGGAAGGGACCTTGGAGGTCTTCTAGTCCAACCCCCTGCTTAGGAGGAAACCCTACACTACTTCAGACAAATGGTTGTCCAACATCTTCTTAAAAACTTCCAATGTTGGAGCATTCACAACTTCTGGAGACCAGTTGTTCCACTGGTTAATTGTTCTCACTGTCAGGAAATTTCTCCTTAGTTCTAGGTTGCTTCTCTCCTGGATTAGTTTCCACCCATTGCTTCTTGTCCTGCCCTCAGGTGCTTTGGAGAATAGCTTGACTCCCTCTTCTTTGGGGCAGCCCCTGAGATATTGGAAGACTGCTATCATGTCACACCTATTTCTCTTTAGCTCTAGGTTGATTCTCTCCTTGATCAGTTTCCATCCATTGTCATCTTCATGGATGAGAAGCTTCTTGGATGAGAAGCAAAACATCTTCAAAGAAAAACCAGAAAGTCCAGTTGCCTCTTGAAAAAAAAACAGCACCTTTGGGACAACCATGATCTGGATGACTGAGAATCTCTATAGACATTTCCACCCGTTGCATCTTGTCCTGCCTTCAGGTGCTTTGGAGAATAGCTTGACTCCCTCTTCTCTGTGGCAGCCCCTGAGATATTGGAAGGCTGCTATCATGTCTCCCCTAGTCCTCCTTTTCATTAAACTAGACATACCCCATTCCTGCATCCATTTTTTATACGTTTTGGCCTCCGGCCCCCTAATCCTCTTGGTTGCTCTTCTCTGCACTCTTTTTAAGATTGCGACGATCAAAGCTCAATGCGGTATCCCAAGTGTGGTCTTACCAAGGCATTATAAAGTGAAATTAACACTTCAAAGAAGAGTAAGCCAAGAAACTCTGATCTTGCCAAGGATTGGCTTTCAGGCCACTCCCTTCTTCCATGGTTCCTCCTTGGTGTGGCTGAGCTAATTTGAGGAACTGTTTCCCTTGTTTTCCTCCCCACCGTCGCCTCTTTCTCCAGGGACCCTCACCCTTATCCGTGGCTCCGTCAGATTGGTCCAGCCTGCTATCTCTTCCCTTGTGCTCATGTCCGGGTAGCGATTTCGCTGAAAAGTAGCCTCCAGCTCCTGCAGCTGCTGGCTGGTGAAATGGGTCCTGTGCCTACGAGGCTTCTTTTGACCCAGGCTTGCTTCCTCTTCACCGCTGGAATCAGAAGATTTGCCCCGAGAGGTCTCGCCATTTTCTCCTGAAGAGAAAGAGGAAAGGAGAACTTTGTCAGGGTTCCAAGGAATACACCCATAGCAAACAGAACTCCGAGGCAAGCAGTTTCCTCAAAGAACAAGTTTATTGGATATCTCGTATTGGCACAAGATGGTGAAAACCGACTCTGAAGGTTCCCGCGGTTTTCACCTAATTAAAAGTAAAAGTCCCCCCCCTTTCCCCAAACAGTCACATGGTCCAATCAAGGAGCTTTCTAGTTGCTTGGAAGCTTCACTCCTCCTCTCTTCAGCCACCTGTGGGACTGTCCTTGGTTCTCAGGAGAAAGTATTGTGTTTTGGCTACAAAACCCCAGCTATCTCTATTATATGAGCCACGGTGGCGCAGTGGTTAGAGTGCAGTACTGCAGGCTTCTTCTGCTGATCACCGGCTGCCAGCAGTTCGGCAGATCGAATCTCACCAGGCTCAAGGTTGACTCGGCCTTCCACCCTTCCGAGGTGGGTCAAATAAGGACCCAGACTGTTGGGGGCAAGAAGCTGACTCTGTAAACCACTTAGAGAAGGCTGGAAAGCATTGTAAAGCGGTATATAAGTCTGAGGGCTATTGCTATTTTCCTTCCTTCCCTCCTCAGTGGTTAGAACGCAGGATTGCAGGCAAACTCTGCCCACTGCCAGGAGTTCGATCCTGACTGGCTCAAGGTTGGCTTAGCCTTCCATCCTTCCCTTCAAGATTTTCGGGAGGACGCTTATTTTAGCACATGCGCTCAAAAGCCCGATTGGGCTTATTATCAGGGGATGTCTTATTTTTGGGGAAACAGGGTACACAGGCATTTTCTTCTGCTGAATGCTGAAAATTATCAAAATGGAGCTCAAGAACATCAGGCAGCTCTGGGCTGTGTCTATTCTTCCCCCAAAATGAAGAATATCCTGGAAGTTTCACAGACACAAAGGAATCTAGCCAGCCCAGCTTTAAAGATCACCAGGAACGGTGAGATTTGGCAAAACTGCTCGAATCTTGCAATTCATATTGAAGCGTTCGCCCCTTTCTCATTGAGGAGGAAGTCTACCACAGGTCCTTCCAATACTCTGAATGCAGGGTGAACTTCCCTTCCTTTTCTTCCATAGGAACACTTCTTGACCCTGTTGGCCCCCCAAAACGACATACATTGGAACCTCATTTTACACTTTGAGCATATGCTGGGTGAAGGGAAGCATTTCCCCTTTCACTTGCGTTTTAAAACATTGTTAATTTTATGGTGGCAGATAGATGGGATCAAGGAATGATGGGATCAAGGGAGAACGGGCTCGACTTGTTTCACCCGAGGCAACGCTGGGACAGCGTCAGCATTGGTCATATACCACGGAAGATGGGACGGGATTTCCCAGCGAGTCTTGGACTCTTTAGTCAGATTTGACTTACCATAAATACAGGATACCAGTTTATCCACCTGAAGGGAGGTTGCCCATCCTCAAAAGCAGCCCCCTCCTATGTCAATGGTTTGCAAGATCCCCAAACCAACCTGCATTTCCCCCAAAAACTCCATGCCTTACCACTACTTTCCACGCCGGATGTTCCCGAGAGAGTTTGTGGCTGTAACGCCTTTGCGTTTCCATCCGAGGCTTCCAACAACGTTGACATAATTCCACAAAGACGCAGAAACCAAAGCCCTCGTTCCAGTTCGGAGTAGAGGAGATCAGAAGAAGGTTGCTTCACGTGCCACCACGTTGCAAAGGATCTTCTTCCCGGTGGAAAGTCCTGGGGTTTGACTGATGGGAAAAGGCTCAAAAGGGAGGGGGAAAAATACGGCGGTAATCTTGAAGAACTCGCTTTTAGAAAAGAAGAAATGATCCAGGCTAGAAAAAACCCTTTCTCAGGAGATGTTTTTCAGTTCTAAAGTCCCCAGCAAGGAGGTCCTCTTCACACCACCATTTTTCAAGAGGTCCACTTCCCTCCACCAGATCTACATCAAGATCTGGCTGTAGGGTGTCCTTCTACCAAAGACGCTGGCAAAGACGTCCTAAGGGGCTCTTTCGCTCTGGAAGTCTGACTTCTTTTCCCTTTTCCCCTCTCCCATCCTCTCTCCCTCGCATGTTTATTTCCCTTTCCCAGGGCCGATGGGTTTTTTGGTTTGGCAGGAAGGAGGGGTGTGGATCTCTGTGTGTGTATGTGTGTCAAATATCAGGGACAGCTGAGTGCAGGCTAACCAGGTGCCAATCAGCCATGGTCTCCCCAAGCAGGCTGGGGAAGTTGGACTGAAGTGGGGATGGATGGAAGGATGGCAGCTGAGAGGCCACAGTTTTGTTCAGCCTGCTCCGGAGACGAGGCTAAAAATGCATATTTCAGCACCAGTTGCTTCTGGGATGGTGTGTTTGTGTTTGTGTGTACATTTCCTGAGAGTCAAGAGCCCTTCTTACAAGGTCAGATCTGAAAGTCTCTCTGATCCAGAACTGGAGACTACTGGATCCCAATCAGGGGTGAAATCCAGCAGGTTCTGAAGAACCGGTTGCGGAAATTTTGAGTAGTTCGGAGAACCGGCAAATACCACCTCTGAAATGGAGATTTTGCAATATCTTTACCCTGGAGTGGGGTAGGAATGGGGATTTTGCAGCATCCTTCCCCTGCCACGCCCACTAAGCCACGCCCACAGAACCAGTAGGGAAAAATTTTTGAATTTCACCTCTGATCCCAATTAGAAATCTTCCTTTTTGGATTCTCTCAGGGTAGCGCCAGAGGAGATACCTAGTACAGGCAATCCTCAATTTGCAGCCATTTTGGGTAAATTAGCAGCCATTTCTCTAAACGGAAACGACTGGGGAAAAAAAAGTGACTTTTACAACCATGAAACAAGACGATGATCTTCAAGATGTTCAGAGCTGTTCCTGAAGGCAAGGCAGGAAAAAGTGAGATTAAACTGGAAGGAGATAAATTTCAGAAATTACTACATGGGGTATCCCAAGGGTGCTTTTTCAAAAGCCAGCTGGACTTTTTCCTTGAAGACGTTTCGCTTCTCGAAACGTCTCCAAGGGAAAACCAAGAAGGTTGAGTCAAAGTTGACTCAGCCTTCCATCCTTTCTAAAGTAGGTAAAATGAGGACCCGGATTGTGGGGGCAATAAGCTGACTTTGTATAAAAAAGAACACCGCTTTGGGGGGGGGGAGCGAAAGCCCTACTAAGGAGGTATATACAAAAAGTATGAAGGCTATTGCTTAACGCATTGTAAGTCTCTGGAGAAAGGGCGGCATACAAATCAAACCAATAAATCGAACCAATAAATAAATAAATAAGAATGTCCAGTTGCCTTCTGAAAAGGCACCCTTGGGGTTCAACCACAACCTGGATGAGACTCTCCATAGACATTTTGGCTAGATGGGTAGCCATGGGATGCTCAGGACGTTTTCTTGGGTCGCTTTTGTCCAGGCTGAGCATTCCGGACTGCTGGCTGACGGATGGCCGGAGAAACAGGTGGGAGACGCCAGCCCTCTCGTTGGCTAATTAGGCCTTGAAAGATGGGATGGGGTGGCTGCTTTGGAGCCATCTCGAGGACAAGGTCAGGTTTCCATGTTTCCTTTTGGGGGAAAAATTGAAGAAGCCAAGGCACGCTTCAGATTTGCTTTCCCGTCTCCTGGGTTCTCAAGACAAGCTGCCGGCCACTCGGGAATCCTAATCTTCACTCCATGCAGCTGCAAGTTTTTGAAAACTTTCAACTCGCAGCCGGTGAAGACTGGAGAGACCATTTCTGGAGAAAAAGGAAGATGTAATCAGATGTGAACATGCCTATGGTCCAGGGGTGAAATCCAGCAGGTTCTGACAGGTTCTGGCGAACCGCTAGCGGAAATTTTGAGTAGTTTGGAGAACCGGCAAATACCACCTCTGGCTGGCCCCAGAGTGGTGAGGGAATGAAGATTTTGCAGTATCCTTCCCCCAGGAGTGGAGATTTTGCAGTATCCTTCCCCCAGGAGTGGTGAGGGGATGGAGATTTTGCAGTATCCTTCCCCTGAAGTAGGGTGGGAATGGGGATTTTTCAGTATCTTATTTATCTATTTATCTATCTATCTATCTATCTATCTATCTATCTATCTATCTATCTATCTATCTATCTATCTATCTATCTATCTATTTATTGAATTTATATTCCGCCCTTCTCCCTGAAGGGATTCAGGGTGGTGAACAGCCGAAAATTAAAATAACATACAATATAAAAGTTAAGATAACTAAAAATAAATTAAATTAATCTTTCCCCTGCCATGCCCATCAAGCCTTTGAAAAATCAGTTGTCATTTTTATACTCTAAATTTACATACCATGCATTTTTTTTAAAAAAAAGTTTTCTTTCTCCCTTTTTTTTTTTTTTTTTTGGCTATCTCCTCTTATACACACACACATACACAATTTGAGTTGTTTAGTTTTAGCTTCTTCTTAAGAGAAGAGGAGAGAGGCACACATGTTCCATGTGTCCTCCTGCATTTTTTTGGCTTGGTCCCATTTCCATGCATTGTTTCCTTTATTGCTCCGGCTTCTACCCTCCGTGAAACCTTCCCCCCCCCCCCCCTTCCCTCGGCCCCCCCCCCCCAACCCACCAACAGCTGTCCTGAGACTGCGTTAGACAAGTTGGAATTCCGGGGACAAATGGACACAGCTGAGAAGCCATCCCACTGGGAAATATTTTACTTTTTGGCCCAAATGGCTCCAGCTCCGAAATTCAAGGGGGTATTCACCCCCCCTCATCTCTCCCTCCCCCCATCCCTTACAAAGAAATGTTTTAGAGGAATTTCTGCGTGCAGAACTGGCAAACTTCTAATTGCATGTTGTAAACATTTCCTCATAAATCTCAGATGGGTTCCTTCAGAGCTGCAAAACAGGTGGTGCGACCCATCGAAAGTTTGGTTGGTTGCCCCAGAAGAACTCTCCATTTTCTTCTTGTGCAGCAGAAAAGGATGAAATCATTAGCAAGTATTTAAAAAGCAAGACAGGAAGCCAATCGATCCCATTTGAGACGAGGTGCTGGAGAAGGTTTCTGTGTATTCCTTGGACCAGGGGTGAAATCCAGCAGGTTCTGGAGAACTGGTAGTGGAAATTTTGAGCAGTTTGGAGAACTGGCAAATGCCACCTTTGGCTGGCCCCAGAGTGGCGTGGGAATGGAGATTTTGCAGTATCTTTCCTCCAGGTGTGGGGTGGGATTGAGGTTATCTGGACCAGGGGTCTCCAACCTTGGCAACTTTAAGCTTGGAGGACCTCAACTCCCAGAATTCCCCAGCCAACTGGGGAGCTCAACCAATATCATTGTGCATACTGTATCTTGTGCACTGACAATAAAGATTTGAATTTGAATTTGAATCTGGGGGATTCTGGGAGTTGAAGTCCACCAGGCTTAACGTTGCCAAGGTTGGAGACCTCTAAAGTCCCTTCCAACTCTATTTTTCTGTGTGTTCTATGGAAAAGCCCGGCTAGATGCAGATCCAGGATTTTCTTCCAACATTCCCCCCTCATCCCTTCATTTCTGCCACATCATGACTTCTTTTGAAGCCCTTGAGTGCTCGCCTACCCTTTTTATTTGCCATTCTGGTGGCTCTTAACGTCGGCTTAGTCCAGCTGTGGATTCGGCCCAGCGAGATGACAAGGTGTTAGCGGTGGCTTTAGAAACAGATGGGACCCATTCATTCCTCATGCGATAATCTTAGCCCGGAGAGTTAGGAAATTGCGTTCGGGATTTATTGAGATCCTCATCGCTCTCGGTAAGAAGAAAGGGGTTTACCCATGTTGACAGTTGGGCTTCGACCAACGGAGGGTGGTAGAGGCATGGACGGAGGGCCAGACTTTCATCTCTGATCTCTCGTCAACTGATATTGGATTTAGAATGATTAAATGGGGCTATGGAGCATAAGGCTGCCAGTGGATATTAGTTACCTGTCAAAATGGACCATCCATGAATAGAAACGACGACTCCTGAGTGCTACAGAAGAGGAAAGAGATGTTCATTTCACACCTTGTGAAGGAAGTTAGCACCCTCTCCTAGAAGAATGAAATATTTTAGGAAATATTCAAAAAGGCAGAATATTGCAATTCCCTGGATGAGAAAAGGAGAAACAGGTTTTTAAAGACAAAGAGCAGCTCTCTGCCCTCAGCAGGTATTTGGTGAATATTAAGAAAGACTGGGCCAGCCTAGCTGCAAAACAAAAGAACTCCAGCTCCAGGCTGATGGGATTAAGACATGACCCTCCAGGACATAATAGGATTAGCCCCCTACCCATCTAGCAACAGAACTCACCACATGGCACAACCAACCCCCTTCATTACGTCACCCAACAAGGTTCAACCAAACTCGATTCAGACAAACATGACCCCACATGGGAGTCTGCAACCAATAGGATACATGCCCTTGCCACAGGAACAAGAAGCTCAAAGCCCAAGAGAGGGTTAGCTACCCAGGACTTCAAACCCATGTGGTCCTGTCCACCATTAAACCATCCTTCCAAGCAGCCTCCATGTTTCCACTGTATTTCTCCCCACTTGGAACTGAACCCAGATGGACATGTCTTCCAACACTTGCTTGTCTGAGGTTTTGGCTAGTCTCTGCTGAAAGCAGAATGCCGACGGTACAATCCAATGGGGGTTTGTTGGGTATAAATAACCATAAGGGTGCAGCGTAACTCTTAAGCGTTCTTCTTTAAGGTTGTGTCCTCATTGAAAGGATCAATCTGGGGCCACCATTCTGGACTTGTGGATAAGGAACAGGTGCTTGTGGAAATATGGTCTCCTTGGATAGAGAAATAAATGGAAGTACATGGAAGTAAGGTTGGATAGAGCAGGGGACTCCAACTTTCGCAACTTTAAGACTTGTGGACTTCAACTCCCAGAATTCCTCAGCAAAGCTGGCTGAGGAATTCTGGGAGGTGGAGTCCACAAGTCTTCAAGTTGCCGAGGTTGGAGACCCCTGGGATAGAGAGCTACTACATCAGGACTATGGGAATGTTCTCTTTCTTTTCAATAGGCTTTCTAAGTGAATGGAGTTCTCTTTGCTCTTTATCCTGTGGAACCGCCATCCCTTCACTCTGACATGACATAGCTCAGCGAGAACATGGGATTTAACATAATTAGCAGATTAACA